GTTTGATATTTTTTCTCAAACGTACTTAACAATTTAAAAGTAACATTATTAATTATAGTTTTCATACACTACGGATCTCGGGGAATCTTGCTCACTCGTTGCACATCGCAAAGTTAGGACTATTATTTTTAGTTTGTATATTTTTTTATTAAAAGCGATCTTTCAAATGTACTTTATTTATTAAAAATTCAGAAAGCCCTGCAATTTCCTGAGATGTGAAAAATCCGTCCTCAATCCTGAGAAGAGTGCAAAAATCATAAGATATGGTAAACCTATCCGTGGTGATACACATTGGCGCCATATCATTACGCAGTATTGATTCCTTATCTCCTAATTTATTAAAATTAATGATAACGAGTGTTGGTATTCTTGTGACGTCATCACTGATATGGTCATTAAAATAGCGTTATAAATATATTTATGACAATAAGTAAAACTGTTCAGGATGTAGCAATCATTCATTAAATTTTTCGGTATTGTCTATGGTCGGGGCTGTGATGGTACCTCTATTATTTCGAATTTCCAGTATCTGAACAATATATATGCAATATCATCTAATATTTATGAATTAAAAGTTAAATAATAATAATTAAAACATGTACCATTCGATAAAAGACCCCTAGTAACTCAAATGTTTTGAATAAGCAACAATAATTGTCTTTATATTATTACAATCCTTTTAAGTTAGAATACATATCTTTCGTTTTAATAAAAAATAACCCTTAATAGTTTGCTTCGATGTTTTCTTTCACAATATTAAAATGAAAAAAAAAAGTAAAAAAACCTTTTTCAATATTTAAAGACGATAAACAAACCGAAGTTTTGAAGTCTAACATTGAATATAATAGATCTGCCTAAATTTTAGAAGAAAAGTTTAATGTAAGACAAAGTTCGACTAGGAATTGTTACCACAGAATATGGCACCTTTATAGAAGTCTGTAAAATAGATATAAAACCTTTTTCTCGTAGTTCATATGTTAATATAGCATTCTCTAATTATAAATTGAATATTTATTAAGGGAAATGCGTATTATTATTAATCTGCAAATCACACATTTTTGTCCATCTAAAAAAATATTTATGGTTACCATTTAGATGATCGATGCTTGAAAGTGGCTAAATAACTATTGACTCCAATGCAAAACGGGATGATGGGTTAGAATTATGACAGTAGTTGTTGTTAATTGTGACAGCAGGCCATGAACTATCTGTGCGCATTAACAGCCAGCTAGCCGGACCAGAATTTTTTTAGTGACAAACACACAATTTCATTTCTAATCAGTGAGATAGGATTAAGTTTAAAAGTGAAATGATGCCATCGTCGAAGTTTAAGGTTCGATGTCGGTGAGTACAATATCACACGTTGAGAACGATAGTGACACAATGCAAAAAATGCGATTTTAAGTAATGAGCGTTTAAAGTTCAAGAAATTGTAATCAGCCCCTCTAAACAACGTATAGTCACTACGCCACCTAGCAGTTTCTATGCAAGCTACGTTCACAGGGATCTTTGCATTTTAAAGTTTATACTTAATAAAGAAAAATTATGCCAAAAGTAAAAAATACGTCGTTTTTGGTTAGTGACATTGTCATTCTCAACGTGCGATATGTTCTTTACAATAAAATGCTTTTACAAAACTTTATTCAAGTTTTTGTATTAGTGGCACATTTTAAAAGCTTCTTTTTTAGTTTTCTATTGATATGAAATTTGTATGACAAGAACTTGGATAATAATGCAATATTTATAAGGGGAATGGAGCTGATCTGGTGATGGATCTGGAAGGTGAGAAAGAATCTTTGTAATTAAACGAAGGAACTCCATCGAGTTTTGGCTCATTTATTTGTCTTGATAAGCACTTTTTTCTGATATAATATGCAGAGTACGACCGATATTAGGGATAATTTGATTTACCTATATGAGTAAGATCTTATGTTGAATAAATATATAAGAATATCATCACATACATCGCTCAGATTCCAAGATGAGTAGCTAAAGCCCCTGTATTAAGGAGTACCTATCTGTGACAAAGAAGGTACCACAATATACAAAAAGTTTGTTTATAAATATATGAATATTTCGACTTTGTCTTATGTGAATTTTACATTAATTACCATTGTGTCTATGACTACCTTATTATCTAATGGCCTTTTCATCGATTTGTCATTGTGCACTTGTTGTGCACGTAGGTAGTATAGTTAGCTATGTGTTTTTATTGCCATGGTATTCTACTTCCACAGGCGGATCTGGAGCTTAAAAAAGTCGTGGGTATAATCACAAAAGTCACAGCCATAAGAAAAAATAGCCCAAGTGCGTTTCGGAGTTTAATAGTACATTCCAGCAAAGGAGATGCTTACCAAAATGTACATTCCTGCAAAGGAGATGCTTACCAAAATGTATCACGCGGTGATCATGATTTTGGACAATGTTTAAAAGACCACGTGAGCAGTCAACCTCAGTTGGCGCATGAAAATGTAATGTAAATTCTAGGTATATATATGGCTGTAGGCGTGCCCATAAATCTCATCTTCTTCAATCGACTTTAGTATTTCCACTGGCTCAAGAAGTAGTGGGTATTTTCAGTTTTAGAGTTTCAAAGTTATTAAGATATGCCCCGTTTGCAAACTAAATAGTTTTTCTGCCTACTGAAAAGTAAGATTGTTTCATATAGCTAGTTTTGTATGCGCAAAGTCGAAATATTTTGTTCAAAATTTACCTAACTGTACCTAGAACTCAATCTGCGTAGTATTTAATATCACATTATATTTCATGATGTTAAAAATTCGCGACAAAATGTAATACATTTCCAAACAATCTTTATATTAAAATCGGTTCAACATTTTACGTGTGAAAAAAAAAAAATTAATAGACAGTTTCGTAAATACATTTTAGGTTGTAATTAATATTGATAATGAACATATTAAATAGTAATCAAATATTGCCATCAAATCAAACACAGTAGTTAACTTGTTGATGATGATGAATAAGGCTTTACTTACGTCAGAGTGGTTACACAATATTAAATTATTTTTATTTTAATCTGTGTTGGTGACTCTTTGGTTAAATTGTTTTCTTTTGCTTTAACACATTATACCATTTTTAAGAATTGAAATCTAATAAATTCTTTTCGTTGTTGGTTGTAGATAGTCTTTTTCACATAGCATGGGACGCATACGGTGATGTGGTTATAAAAATATATAAACTAAAACTCGAAATCATTGAGGTCATTTTAAGTAGAGATAATCGATTTTTAGGACTATTTATAAATTAGGATTAAAGAAAAAAATTTATTCATCAACATAGGAACCTGAGTCAGAAAATTACAAATTTTATTAAAGTTTAGTTTAATTATTACTACAACGATAATTAAAAATTGACAAATAATTACTGAATACATATTTCGATTAAAACGATTTTATTGATGCAACCACAATAAAGGTATTGATGTTTTAAAGTTTAGAGGGTTAGATTTAAGTAATTATGACAATAAAAATTATTCGGGTTTTAATATGCAAATTTAAATAAATATCTCATATTTGTACATGCAAATTATTTTTAATACGATGGTTTTTATTTATTTGGAAATAGAAATAGCGTGTTGGATTTGTTAACAAACGTCACCGTACCCATGTTATGGGACGTTTTTTTAATTATATTATGCGAGATTGTTATTTTTTTTATTTACTCATGCTATATCTTTTGTTTTTTTTTAATGACACTATTTTGAGAATTTGACAGGTGATATAGTCAATACTGTTATTTTTCGAAAAATAAAAGTATGTTTTTTATTTTAATATTACTGTTAAGTTATTAGGGCAGTTAATTAAAACTGCATAGAAAATAATATTTTACTAAACGCTATGTAGCTGCTCTAAACAAAGATAGGAGCACTAAGAGCTGACCAAAGGGCAATCGAAGACGAAAATAGCTCATTAGCATCGACGTTAGGCGATAAGCTTATCACGGCTTACATAATCCCAGTTTCCTAACCACGTGGAACCACTACGTTATAAAATATCACTAATAAATGCATTGGAAAACTTTCCGCTTTCAATTTGCGCAGTTAGGTGAAACCACGCCAGCTAAATAGGAACAGGAAAGTTGCAAGTCGCCTAATACAGATTTCACTTCTTTTTATTAACCTCACGTGTATTATAATGCATTTTCCACTATCTACACTCGGAAACAAATGTTTTTGGACTCACCTTAGCTAAAACCTGACGTGGATACTTCCAACGGGACTGTTCACTACAACACACACGCAACTAGCACAATCATATCACAAAATACAACGAAAACAAATCTTTTTACACCATTACTATTATTAGATTAGGTAACACAAGATATGCTCCTTACAACTGACGCGTTTTGGGTTTTCAAAAAGTCCATTGAAATTTACGTCGAGCGAAATTATAGGTACAGAGTGGCAACGCTGTGTAGTCGGACGTATACGTTTCTCGGAGCAACCGTACGGCGGCGCTGTTGCGGCGGGAGGCGGGGCCGCGCGAAGCGACAGGCGCGCTAGAGTGAGACGCAACGTTTGTGTGTGGACGCCACGTAGGTAGCCGTCGTCGTCGCAATATTTTTTGCGTGAAGCTGTACTTATGGTATTCTGTGAATTCTATGTCGTTCCGAAATTGGGATTGTTTAGATGGCGAAGACATCAGCGGATGGTAAGCGCCGGTGACTAGTGACCTTTTAACGTGGTATCGCGTCACCGCGGGTGGCGATAAGACGAGGTCGTCGGTCGCAAGTGCGACGTTGCCAACCCGCCGCGGCATTCGATGCCCACGTTTCCACGGATTACGAAAGTGTTGAAAGCGGCAAAATCCAGCGATGGCCCTTCGGCATACATAGATATTACTCTGTATAAGTGCTGCAAGTAGTCCGACTGCAAAGAAAGGTAGATAGATAGGTACACGTTGTGTATGTTTGTGTGGCGCGTAAGTAGGAACGTGTGCACACACGTAATTTCGGTCTCGTTCGGGCTCCGTCAATCAAGGATGCGCCACGTTACCGCGTTGTCGTGTTCAGTTACTGATCACCACATTTGTAAGAGAGAAGACATGCGTTCAGTGAAGAAGTTTAAACGTCGTTGTGATGTGTTTGGCTGCATGAAAAATAAAGAATCGAATCCAAAACTTTCATTTTTTTCCATACCTATGGGAAATGAAAGGTTAAAGTATGTACTTTCTTTTAGACGATTTGAAAATTGTTTTATTTATTTTAAGGCTTATTATATTGAACGAGTAGATCAATATATGTACCTGGGGCAGCTGGTTTTTCTGGATAGGCTCGTATAAAGTCAGGAGATAGACTGCCATATTAGACTTGGATGGGCTGCATTTAGTAAGTTGTCCGATATATTCAAAAGTAAGAAGATGCTTCTAGCTCTAAAGCGACGAGCGTTCAAAATGTGTATTCCAAGGACAGGAAAGAGTAATATCGGTTGACTACCAAAAAGATGGACTGACGATAAACGAACGAAAAAACTGCGCAAAGCCCAGTATAGAAATAAATAGCGTGAGCTTGAGGAAGCCTACTCCCCAGAAAAGAAAAGAAAGCTAATTTTTCATTATTTATTTAATAGTGCTGTGTATGAAAAAAAAAACAATGTATAAACATTTGCACAAGATATTTTTGAGATCAATCTGTTCTTATACTTGTATAATATACAAGTATAAGACTTATAATATACAAGTTTACAAGTTATACTTGTATAATATACAAGTATAAGAACAGATTATATATTATGTATTACCTACAAAAAGGAAAGATTTGTATCTTGGTAACTATAGGGAAGGTTACCTTTTTCATTTATTAGTAACATAAATAAATCAAAAACTACTGGACTGATTTGAAAAATTCTTCACCTTCACCAATGGAGTGCCTCTTTATCACTGAGTAATATAGACTACTTATTTTGATATTTTAAAGGGCAAAAAGAAGTTTGCAATGAAAAGCTAGTGTCAAATAAATAGATCATTTTGTAGTTGGATTGAAACTTATGCACCTAATAGAGTTAAATGATGCTCAGTTAAACTTCCATTTTAAACAGTATTCTTTTTTAATTCATCTTTAGGTCATTAATGTAGATTGGTTTCTTTTTTAGGCGCTTACGGTGGTTGCAACTTATAGGACGTGAAGAGCTCGCGAGCGTCACTTCACATCGTAATCGTGTATGTGAAATTCACTTTAACGTTCGAGATGTGCAAGAAAACAGACAACGCAAACTTTTAAAAAAGAGTGCATTACCCTGTCTGTTCTTGCCTGCCCCGTTTAAAGTCGATAAAGAGATACAAACTTATTTATCAATATCGAGTACTGCAACGCAGACAGATGTTATTCCACCAGCTGAAACATCTTTATATAACTTTACTCATACTGCCGAATTACTTAATGCAGATACTACTCGAAAAAGAAAATTAAAGGTAGACTTGCCGGACTGTAAAAAGTGGACAAAATTAAAGGAAGTTACTATAGAACAAGAAGATATTTTTTATAAAATGTGTGATCGCTTTTTATCAAAAGATTTGGCCGAAATTATCAAAGCTCAAACCAGACTAAAATTGACCAATACCAATAACAGATAATATATTATAAATTAACTACGATAACAGATTTTTTATTTCTAAATAACTTTATCTATATCATGCCTCATTATTTTTATGTATAAGCGATAAGTAAGAACCTATATCTACTAAAACAATAGTGTGACAACCCTACACTTCGAGTGCTTTTATTTTCCTAAATATCGGAAGCCGGACTACTGGCTAATATTTTTACTATGAATATTACTTTTAGCGTCTGTATGTCTCATTACCTTTAGTGACCTGAATATGCGATTGGTAGGTGTACCATCTATAGCTTGTGCCCGAGTTATCTTGGTATCAACGTCGTTTTAGCTCAAGCCGCAGTCGTTTGGACCATGCTTAACACCGGCAATAATAAATGGACGGCAATGGACACTATGGCCCATGATGGGCGATAATCGTGCATGATGCCAACGTGTCGGTTTTTGAGACAATCATCAAAGGAAGTTTGGCCATGCATGATCGTGCGCGCGTCTACACAATCACCGATCACTTGGTTCGTGTTTTTTTTACGATGCAGTGCGGATGCGTGCTGATTTCGATGCTAAAATGGTATAGTCGAAGAAGACCTATAAATAATCTATTTCTATCCCTGTAATCCGAGGTCCTTAATAAGTTTATAGTCTAGGTTACGTTTCAGAAAAATATTCCCTCATCCGTTATTTGGTTTTATAGATAACATTTAAGCAGGTTGCCAATCAAATCAGGCTTCATTGTCTGTCAACTCATCTGTTATTCATGAAAATCAAGCAATAATCGAAAGAACACGTCCAAAATAATCGAAAAACTATAGGCGGCAATTAGGGTAACTATAAGTTAAAGAGATTTGACAATATATATATTTATATCATTTTTTATAAAAATAATATCTCTTCCTTAGGCTTATATTTTTTTTGATCATTGTGGACGTGTTATCTCTGTTAATGTACGATTATAATGAATTCAGATAAAGGGAATCGATAAAATATTACTTACACGGAACATTATTTGATTTTCTTTATAAATATATATTTTTATTAAATACATGACAAGCTTTTCCCCATATTACTACTATTATTTTGAACCTACGACCTATTCCTCCGGCTAATTTATTTAGTAATTTTTGAGGTCCTTGGCAAATTTTACCATGATGTAATAAGAAGACCGGAGGATAGGAAAACATCTAATGTTTTCCTATCATCCGGCTTTGACATTTTCCTTTAGCATATTGCTCGTCTTGCCATCTTATAGTAGTTACGGCTCCTACGTATGGGTGGGTGTAGGCTAGTCACAAGTCGAGTTAGTTATTTATAAAAAAAATACATTTGCCATCTCGGCCAAAGCTGTCCGGAAGTTCGTACAGCATGTGTGTAGGGGCTATTACATCAGTGCCATGTATGCGCCAAAAGTTTTCGAGTGGGACTGCATGTATGACCTACGATAGATGTTGTCCTCTCAGAACAAACTGTCTTAAGTTCATAGTGGCATTAAGTAAACAAAAAAAATTGTTACTCACATTAAATTATTTAGCAGGAAAAATGTCAAGACATGCCTGAGTGGTGGCAGTCGTAATTTTAGCACGAGGAATCCTCATTGGAGCGCTGCCAGTGTGTATCGAATTATTTTTCTTTTATTATTAGCTTTGTAATAGAGAATGTGGTATTATAAAACTAACGCTTTCCTACTACGTTTGTCTGTATGTCTGAACATAATAGTTTCTTTTTTATTAAACTGGCTCCACGGATATTGATAACAGTGAAAAATAATTGAGTAATAATTAAGAGTTATTGTCGCTTTTAGTAACATGTTTGAAGTCTATTTCACTATTATAAGTTGTTGCGTTTTTATTTTACCGCTTTTACAAAGTTTTATGATGCCTATTTTTATCCTAAAAGTCATTGCATGTTGGAAACTTTAAATTGCAACCAATCCATAGTTCTTCTTCTCCATGCCAATAGGGAGTTTTTAAGTTGGTTGTGCTTAAATTAAAAATTGATTATAAATGAAACAAAGATAAAGCCCAAATTAAATGTAATTGAAGATGAATAATCTGTTTTTATATTTTTAGACATTAAATAGAATCTAAATTATCTCCATTTTTGTGTTATACGCTCTCTAAGCCTTATGTATCGGTGCTTAATGTACCATGATGAAACTGCATATTTTTGTTATCTTCTAACGCTTATTAGTTACAATTAAGTAATATGTGCCTATGAAGAGTATTTCGAAACAACACTCTTGTTCCTAGAAATATTTGTATGGTACAAAGCAGCATAGTATAGTTGTGCAGCTTTGTTATTAAATATTATCATAATTAACCCGTATATACCAGTTGGTCGCATGTGTGCGACTAAAATATGAAAATTCATTATAATGTAGGTATGCTAGCAGGAAGGAGGGTTTATGGGGGGTTATATCTATACCTATACAGAATGGAGGTTTGGGGTGGTGAATATATACATATAACAGGGTTATTAGTTTTGTGTATGAATTAGGTACTCTAGTGGAAAAATTACTGAAATTTTATTGTACGTATTCATTTACTCACTGGATCAGCTTTCAAGTCATGAAATTGGATAAAACTATCTATACATATATAAAAGGAGATGTCCTGATTTACTGACTGACAGACAACGCACAGCCTAAACCGCTGGTTGTAGAAACTTGAAATTCGGAGGGAAGATTCCCCTTTATATGTAGAGGTGTACTAAATTCCATCCCGAAGGGGGTCAAAAAGGGTGAAAAAGTTTGTATGAAACTTCTTTGTTTATGGCCCTATATCGATCAAAATTGGTATTTGGGTAGTTACTGACCCTAGGAAGGTAATATGTTATATTTTATCCCGAAAATTAGCACTTAAAGGAATAAAAATGGAAGTAAAAGATTTTATGAGGAATCATAATGTTACTAAAGCAACCATTGTTTACAATCTGATTTGTTAGTGAATAAAATTACCTAATAATATTTACAAAATATTTTATTGTATAGCGATGAAAACTTTTAAATGAGTAAATATTACATTTTTTAAATTTAAATGCATAAAAATTTTCAAATTTAAGTAATTTTGTTTACGAAAGAAAAATTATTTTTATATATTATATACATATGAACTACACTAGATGGCGTTAAATGAATTCTAAATCGCAGAATTTTTTGCCTAGAAAATTTACCTAGAATAACGTTTATTGCAAAAAATATATGTTGCACTGTAAATAGAAATATTATTCCATCATCAGCTCTTTTAACTCTCTAATGCAAGGGCTCACAGGCCTTCGTTATAGATGGTGATAAGGAGGATGAGCCATGACCGTCCACGCTGGCCCAATGCAGATTGGAAGGTATTATCGACTGCAAATGCTTCCGGACTTTATGTGCCTTCCAAAGATACTAATTTTTTGGTCACCCATCCCGTAACTGGCCTTTGCGAAAGTTGTTTAACTACAACGACCACGGGCCGCGGCGCTTATCCACTACGCCACCGAGCTACTCTCAAATATCTCCATTTCATTTTAAATCTTACAGTATTGATAGTAGAGTAGTGAGTTTTAAAATAAAATGTAAGAAATTTAAACTTTGCTATACTACATGACGTTTATGACAAAGTAATCTGCGCTAACGTTTCTATCAAGGAATTTTACGTAGATTACGTTTCGATTAAGTTTTGTGTAAACTTCAGAACTGTTTTTCATCTGATTACTTCAAATTGGATTGGATTGGATAAATATCTCTCAAGGTAATTTCATCATCAGCTCGAAACGAAAACAGCATTATTGGAAAATATATGCTGCCCAAAGTAACTATACCACGCGGACGAAGTCGCGGGCAAAAGCTAGTTTTATTATAAATTAAAAAAAATGTTTTATCTTTTTTATATGATATTTAAATCAAGTAATGTTAAGGACCCAAGCCTTGTAAGTATATTTTTAAATTAGAGTAATAGTTGTTTACGGGATTGATATTTATTTAAATAAGGTAGGTCCATTACATGGTAACAATCTCGTTAATAACTTAAAAAGTTTAAAATATAATATTTTTTTAGTTAAGAAGTATGTATATCTGTGGTTTAAGTGAGTATCAGTACGTCTTGGATATATTTCACACTAATAACACGACATGCTTTCTATTACTAGTATCAACCTTGTCATGTAGTGTCGTCTATCGTTTGAACGTGGCCTAAAGCCTGTCAAAGCCAATATTAAATGTTGTCTTTTCGCAATAATTCCTCACGTTTCCTCCGCTACTGGATTTCTCCTTTGGCTTACGAAATATGACGACTGCGAAAATTGGTGTAGTCAACTTCAAAGACCCGTACCTATTCAATTTTCATCTAAAACTAATATTTCTTTTTTTTTCTATTTCTTTCTATAACACCGTAGCCGCTTTGCTTTAGTTCAAACTTGATATTAATGAATAATTTTTCATTCACAATGCTATATTGATAAATAAATTTTAAGGTAAAAGGGTTAAAAAAATCGCCAATACCAGGCACTTCGGGAGCAGTCATCTGGATTGCGAAAGGTTGTGGATTCTAATCCCATCTCACGGTACCTGGGACTAGTGACTTTTTAAAGCATTTTTCATTAAAAGGTATTGATCATATTATTTGGGTAGATATTTGATAGACTACATATTATGATCTGACCACGACCCTTTAATTATGTACAGTCAACATCACGTCAAGTTATTACAAAACTGTCTCCCCGTTTCCCCAGTTGATTTTAAACCAAATACATTTAAGGGTAATCAATTGTGTAATTTGTTATATTGCGGTTATATGACGTGTAGCCGTGTGTGTCATATATTATAAAATACTGATATAGAGTAGAAGCTTTCTTTTTTAAGGTTCTGTACCAAAAGGGTAAAACGGGAGTAATTAATTACTAACACTCCATTGACCATCTGTCTGTTTGTTCCTCTGCGTCGAGTATTAAGTTATTAGAGCTAACACTTAATACATATTATTGCTAACACCCCTCCAAATCAAAATAATTATTACTAATATGAAAAAATCAATATATAAA